ACATTTCACCCTTCGGGTACAAGATGCGGAAAAGTCGACAAAGGCTACGGAAATTTCCGGGAAAACCAAGATTCAATCCGATTCTGTCAACGACGTCTCCATCTGGATGTTTTCGAAGAACTGCAGCAGAAAATCGCCAATTCATTCCTTTGCAAAGAGTTGCAGAAAAGTGGACCGAGGCTACGGAAATTTCCGGGAAAACCAGGATTCTATCCGATTCTGTCAACTACGACTACATCTGCATCAATGCGAGAAACGGTAGCAGAAAATCAAACATTTCATTCGTTTCCAAAGAGTTGCGGAAAAGTCGACCGAGGCTACGGAAATTTCCGGCAAAACCAGGATTCATTCCGATTCCTGCAACTAAACTGCCATCAGGATCCGTGCGAGGAACGGCAGCAGAAAATCCACATTTCATTCGTTTCCAAAGAGTTGCGGAAAAGTGCACCGAGGCTACGGAAATTTCCGGCAAAACCAGGATTCAATCCGATTCCTGCAACTAAACTGCCATCAGGATCCGTGCGAGGAACGGTAGCAGAAAATCCACATTTCATTCGTTTCCAAAGAGTTGCAGAAAAGTGCACCGAGCCTACGGAAATTTCCGGAAAAACCAGGATTCAATCCGATTCTGTCAACGACGACTACATCTGCATCCATCGAGGAACGGTAGCAGAAAATCGACATTTCATCCTTCCTGCACAAGATGCGGAAAAGTCGACCGAGGCTACGAAAATTTCCGGAAAAACCATGATTCAATCCGATTCCAGCAACTATATCATGATCTGGATCCATACGAGGAATGACAACAGAAAATCGACATTTCATTCGCTTGCAAAGAGTTGCAGAAAAGTGGACCGAGGCTATGGAAATTTCCGGAAAAACCAGGATTCATTCCGATTCTGTCAACTACGTCTCCATCTGGATGTTTGCGAAGAACTGCAGCAGAAAATCGACATTTCATCCTTCCTGCACAAGATGCGGAAAATTCGACCGAGGCTACGGAAATTTCCGGAGAAACCATGATTCAATCCGATTCCAGCAACTATATCATGATCTGGATCCGTGCGAGGAACGGTAGCAAAAAATCCACATTTCATTCGTTTCCAAAGAGTTGCGGAAAAGTGCACCGAGGCTACGGAAATTTCCGGGAAACCAGGATTCAATCCGATTCCTGCACCTAAATTGTCATATGGATCCATGCGAGGAACGGCAGCAGGCAATCGAAATTTATCGACAAAACTAAATTAAAATCGACATTCGTTTGCAAAGAGTTGCGGAAAAGTGGACAAAGGCTAAGGAAATTTCCGGGAAAACCAGGATTCAATCCGATTCCTGCAACTAAATTGGCAATGGATCCAAGCGAGGAATGACAGCAGAAATTCGACATTTTATTCGTTTGCAAAAAGTTGCAGAAAAATGGACCGAGGCTACGGAAATTTCCGGAAAAACCAGGATTCAATCCGATTCTGTCAACTACGTCTCCATCTGGATGTTTGCGAAGAACTGCAGCAGAAACTCGACGTTTCATTCGTTTCCAAAGATTTGCGGAAAGGTCGACCGAGGGTACGGAAATTTCCGGGAAAACCAGGATTCAATCCGATTCCAGCAACTAAACTGCCATCTACATCCGTGCGAGGAATGATTGCAGAAAATCGACATTTCATTCGTTTGCAAAGAGTTGCAGAAAAGTGGACCGAGGCAACGGAATTTTCTGGAAAAACCAGGATTCTATTCGATTCCAGCAACTAAACTGTCATCTGGATCCGTGCGAGGAACGGCAGCAGAAAATCGACATTTCATCCTTCGGGCACAAGATGCGGAAAAGTGGACAGAGGCTACGGAAATTTCCGGCAAAACCAGGATTCAATCCGATTCCAGCAACTAAATCATGATCTAGATCCATGCGAGGAATGACAGCAGAAAATCGACATTTCATTCGTTTCCAAAGAGTTGCGGAATAGTGGACCGAGGCTACGGAAATTTCCGGGAAAACTAGAATTCAATCCGATTCCAGAAACTAAACTGCCATCTGAATCCGTGCGAGGAACGGCAGCAGAAAATCGACATTTCATGCTTCGGGCACAAGCTACGGAAAAGTCCACCGAGGCTACGTAAATTTCCTGAAAAACCAGGTTTTTATCCGATTCCGCGAATTAAGCCGTCCTTTGGATTTGTGTTAGCTCCATCTCTATCTCCATCTGCAACATCTTTTTTAGCTAGGGAGATGATCAGTACCAGGAAATCGACATTCTATACTCTATCGCGAGCTGCGAAAAAATCTACTCATATCTCGGAAATATCTTCCAACATCAGTTTTCCTTTGGAGAAAACAGAGAACTTCATCACTTTATGAGCAAATGAGGGGGACGTCATCAGAAAATCGACTTTTCATACTTAAACCCCGAGTTATGGAAAAATGAAATGATATTTTGAAAATTTCCGTGAGAAGTAGTTTTCCATCATATTTCGTACACTTTTCTTTCATTTTAATCTGGACGATGAACGGAAATAGAATGTTGACATTTGAAATTTCTTTGGCGTGATTGGGGATTATCCATACAACCCCGGAAATTTCCGCCAACACCAGGATTCCGATGAACGGCAGCAGGAAAGTTAACAATTTTTTTTGTATGGAGGAGTTAAAGACATTCTTTCTAAATTCCAGCCAATTTCCGGTTATCATGAGATACCGCCAATTCTGTTACATGAATATGTGTAATGCAGGAGAATAGATATTTCAATAGGAGTAGGAAATAGACATTTTGCCTTTGCACCGCAACATGGTGACAAAACACTTAAGAGTCAGGAAATTTTCACTAAAATGATGATTGGATTAGAATCTGACGACCTGGTCACCTAATGAATCAGTGGAATAAGATATGGTTGAAAATCTATATTTTCACAGTTCATTGAAACATGCAAAGGAAAGGTATGATAATGGAACACTACACAAGTTATAATTTCCGATTTTGACCTTAATTCAGTCTTTGAAAGCGCTCTCAAAATGAAGTCACATGGCACCAAAACTTTCGGTCAAGGAACGCTTATAATCTACGCTCATAATTAGCCCTTTTAAATATTCACTAGTACTCAGTTCCCGATTACATATTCTCTTTTTCTCTGATTCTTGAAGTGTTCCTCCCCTATTTCTCCGGTGATGCCCGTTCTTTAGATCTGATCACAGAAGAACATCATCAAAATGGAGCAAATTAACTAGCAAAATGTGCTGAAGTTGCTCAATGAAGCATATAATTCTTGAAGTGTTCCTCCCCTATTTCTCCGGTGATGCCCGTTCTTTAGATCTGATCACAGAAGAACATCATCAAAATGGAGCAAATTAACTAGCAAAATGTGCTGAAGTTGCTCAATGAAGCATATGGAGTATGCAGGGATCCGAAGACATTAATAATTTCCCATGAAATCGAGCTGGGGAATCACCTTTAAGGTAGTTCTTTCTTTAATTGCTCCCTCCTTTTGTATCACAATTGTGATTACCTGGTGTAAATGATTTTTCTCTGCTTCAGCACTTCGTCCGTTTTTGAAATTCATATGCATAAATGACCTTTACATATTGATAGAGGGGCTAAAGTGACATTACGTCAATTTATGGAACACGTTCACTGACCATCTTGGTAGCATTTGTTCGGAACGATAACCATTCGTTTCCGCAATTTCGTGCAAAGAAACCTATCACGCCTGGAATGTTGTGCATGCTAAGAAATTTATTTTTTTACGCATATACACATTTTCCATACTATATCCTTTAATAGCGCCCTATGCGTCTCCTGTCAGCATGTATAAACATGTGCGGGGGGGGGCAAAGAAAAATCTACCTTTTAGGCCAATTTTGGTCGAACATCAGCTGCACCTGACAAAGTTATGATCAAATATAGTTGGATGGTTATAGGTCAACGTAAAACTTCATTTTACCACATCTTTTTAAAGGACTCTAGGACACATCTGTTTGACAAAAGGAAATATGGCCCTCACCGGTATCTGTTTTTTCATAATTAAAAAATGCAGTCGCAAGTAGATTGGCGGAGCTGCAGTAGACTGTAACGCCCACTTCAGGCATTTGCATCTTGCTGCATGCAAATAATTATATTGAATTCATGAACTTCTTTGTCAAATATCAGTTGCATCTGGCTGCCCCTTGAAAAGTTATGGGAAATCAAAATAGGGTGGTGACTTCATAGCAACCCTGTGTGTAAGATACTGGAACGTAGAAAAACCATTGATACCAGATAATCGTAATTGTGAAATGTGGTAAAGGAGGGAGTGATTAACTCTTAGAAGTGCCAACCGTCGATGAAATTGATGTTGGTAGGCCACCATGCTGCGTCTGGCACTTCTAGGGTTAAAAAGACCTACCTTGAAGGTGATCCTCCAGCACGATCTCATGGGAATTGATTAGTGTCTCTGGATCTCTGCTCGCTCCATATGCTTCATTGAGCAACTTCAGCACATTTTACATGTTAATTGGCACCATTTTGATGATTCTCGTCTGTGATCAGATCTAAAGAACGGGGATTACTAGAGAAACGGGGAAGGAACTCTAATAGAGAAAAAAAAAGGATTTGTAATCGAGAATTGAGTCCGAGTGGAAAATCTGAGAAGGCCCGTTAAGAGCCTAGACCCATTTCTTTGCCGCAGGTTTTTGTGCCATGTGACTTCGTTTTGAGAGTGCTTTCAATGATTAAAGCTTAGTCAAAATCGGAAATTATCACACGGGTAGTGCCCTTTGTGAATAAATTTCCAACACCAGGATTCCATCGCAGGTCCTTATTCTTCCAAGAATCCCATCACCATTCTTCTAAAATATGGCACGATGATATGATTCGGCAAGCACATGAGAATGCCACTGAGACCTCTGTGAGGCGGCCAGGCATCTTTTTCGCTGTCGCCTTCTTCGCCTTTCTTGTCGCCTGGACCAGTTCTTCAGAGAAGATGCAATGGGCGACATTGAGTGCGACGGCAACATCTACACTTCCTGCCTGATGTCATTCGGATGTGTCCTTGACGGAGTTCGGCGACTTAGTGGACCTTTCCTTGCACTGATGCATGAAATGGTGGACTAAATCTCGGCTTATCTCCAAAGTCTCCTATCCTCTCCAGGACATTGGCAATCTCAGAACGTCTTAGAAGCAGGAGAGTGGTGCATAAAAAGCCACCGGCATCAGTTTATGGATTTTTCCCCTTCCTTTTGTTGAGTAGAACATTAAACTTGGCTGGAACGCTTTGATTCGTGAACGTTTCTAGCAGACTGCACGGAATCTCTTGCAGATATTGCAAATGTGACCTGAATTTTTGTCAAATCATGATGAATTTTGTGCTAAATGTCAGCTAACCACACCTTTTGCACTCCGGTTTTTGATAGTTTTAAACTCACTTTTAGCGTTCCGTAAGTGTTAAATTTCCAGGGAAAAATAATTAAAAAGTGACTGCGAAGAAAATTTCCTCTTTCTTTCACATGAAATTCTTCAATCAGAAAATCTCGGCATCGAAATCCAGAAATGAATGCTCTAGCAGTAGCGAGTGATTGCAGGGAGTTCCACTGAAGTAATGTTTTGATGCAGATAAGTGCAAGTGCAAAAGTGTAAGTGCAAAATTAGGCTTTTTCGCTGAAGTGTACCCTATGAAGTAACATCACCCAAATTTCCAAGGATTTTCAGTTAATACTAAAAACAAATTGAGAGCTTCTGGTTGTGATTTCACTGGCGTTCATAAGAAACGTTACAAGGTAATGCAGGGCTCGCCCGCGTAGTAAGAACTGTGATAGTATTATAGTCTATCTGTCCTTTGCTAAACAAGTCAACACGGCAAAAACATTATTGTGTTTACTCACCAAACTTTGAGCACTATGCACACATCACGTCAGGAAAATGCTTAATTAGGTTAAACAAAAGTGAAGGCCTATGGTTGTGTGCCCGATGAATAACTCTAGCTCTTAAAAACATTATTGCGTTTACTCACCAAACTTTGAGCACTATGCACACGTCACGTCAGGAAAATGCTTAATTAGGTTAAACAAAAGTGAAGGCCTATGGTTGTGTGCCCGATGAATAACTCTAGCTCTTCACTAACGTTACATAAAACCTGGCCAAGGTCTTCTGTATATGTGGCATCGTCTTAATGTTTAGCCTTTTTGCAAAGGGCCCAGGCCAAATCAGTCATATGGACTTGTCGTCCAAGAGATACTTAAGATAACTCTATGTCCATAAAATATGGACTCATGCAGGCCTAACTTGAACGTTTTGGTATTCCTTTCGATCGATATCTATGCCTAAACCCACTTTTCTTAACTACTTTGATTGAGCGAGTTACCTTTCGTTGCCAGTTCAAGTCAGAGCAAAAATAATGGGGGAAAGGGAAAGCTGTCCTTGTGGGAAAAATCTGGGCTCTAGCTCACAAGGTTTTATTCACAAAGTTGGTTTACACTTTATTCATCAGTGTCAAGGTCACAGGAGAAAGCTGAACTTAAGAGTTTTAGAGAGGAAATTTGGCTGTTCAGAGAGGAAGAAAGGGGATAAAATGAATTAAGAAAAATTCAACATCCAATAATTCCAAAGGTGTATTGCAAGATAAATTAGGTTGTATAGATGTTAAGATTTCTGATACCAATAGTGGTGAAGATAATTTGAGGATAATTTAATTGCAGTGTGAATACATTTTGCTTGCTGCAATGAAAGATGATACTTGCTCCTTCAGGTAAACTACTCACCATAGTCATTGAAATTCTTATGTAAACTGTAAAGCCCCTTTCAGGACTTCTTCATTTTAGAGTTCAAAGTTTACATTGCATGTGTCAATAGCATTAAAAAAAAAGCATAGGTGCATTGTTTAGATGTGTCCATTTTCTTGGCAACGTTGTTTTAAGGTGATGCAAGAGTCCAAATATCTGTGGTTCAGGGAGAAAGGCATTTGACATGACTATCAGTTCAACTTATCATACAGAAAAATTAGTGTAGAAAGTTTGTTGAATGGACTTGAAGCAGTTGTCTTTTGTTTATCTGGAAACAGTATATTTCTTGAGACTGATTGCATGTGAAGATGTCTAGCCTGGGCTTCATTGTGTCAAGTGTCCACCTACTTGTGAAGTTTAGAAAAGACTGACTTTCATGGAAAGTGCAGCACGATGGAGCAGCGATTTGCACCAGATTCTTGAAAACATTAAGAGGGGATGTGAAACAGTTTTACATGCGCCTGGTGGATCTTGAAAGGTCTATAAGCATGTGCCATTATGGAAGTTGTGGGCAGTAATGGATTAATAGTTAGCTTCTATGGACCATTCAATCCTGATACAATGATTCCAGGAGTTGAGTTCTAGTAGGGGGATGAGTATAGGTTTTGTCAGTATGTGTTGGGATGTACTAAGATTGCATTCACTCTCCTTTCCTGTTCCTTGCCTACATGGACAAGATCTGTATAGATAGCCTGGGCTGCACAGGAGTCATCATCAGTGGTGTATCACCAATAAAGTTACATCTCTTGGGTGGTGATGCTGTTTTATTGACTCAGTCTAGTCATGAGCTATACAGCTTGATGAATCAGTTGAACTAATTGCTTTTTTGCAGAAATGAGACTTAGTATCCCCCAAATCCCAGGTTATATGCTCAAAAAGTACCCCATAGTGCACACTAAATGTCAAGTGAAAGGGCCCCTTGAAACAGTTGGAGTGGAGCATATTGATCTCTTCTTCTCAAGCAATGGGTGATATGCAAAATATATAGACAATCGCATCTCCAGGGCTTCCACAGTTTAGCAGAAACTGGTGGACAGTGATTCCCAAATGGGATATCCTTCAAAGAGGCACAAGTCTCTTCCTTTTTGTGTTACAGTGTTTTTTTTTTCCCAATCCTTAACCATGGCCTTGAACTTAGGGAGAGTGATTCACAGCCATAAGAAACAGATCACAGCCAGAAGCTGCCCAGAAGGTTCTTATATCAACAGGCTGGCATAAGACCTTGTAATATACCAATTACCACCGTATGTGAGAGTCTTCAGGATTAGTGGCTATTTCTCCAGATCAAGAGATCTCCAGTCCAGTGGTTTGGGTAAGTTTGCCACATGCCCCTGAGAGACCAGCAAAGAGAGTTTCTCAGACCAGCATGACTGGCAAAGGGCCAGTTGGCAGACATTGTGCAAGGCTGTGTCAGGGAGCTTTGTTACAAGTTGCTCAACACCCCACCCACTTAGCTTGAGTCTGTTGCCCAGGGTTGGAAACATTGCAAGGTTGGATTAACAGTCATGAAAATGGATGCCAAAAACTCATGAGTATGGAATATCACTAATGCAAGGTTTAAGCTTTTTGCCTCATTTGTAGGACTGCAATGAGTATTCTCATTGCAGTCCTACTCTTCCAAGACCTCTTCCAAAGTGAATGGTCTTCCTAGTACATACATGTATGTACACTAGTCAGTACATGAGACTTCCATAAGGCATGCCTTACAGTAAGGCAACTCCAGCTGTGTCATAGCATTTCTGACTTAGAAAAGTCACCCTTCTAGAATGACAAAAAAGTAACATTCCCTTCATTCAAGCAAAAAATTTCCAGTATTTTATCCTTCATTCTTTTGACTTAAAATTATACTTAACCTTACTGGTGCTAGATCTTTATTATTGGATATCCCCCAAAAACTTCAATGTCGGTTGTTTTGTTACATTTTTTAAGCACTTAGACATGAGACTGCCAAAAGACTCAATGGACCCCAAGAATGAGTCCAACTGTACCTCATCTACCCTATAATTTTTGTTCCTTGCCAGTCTGTTGTACATAAAACATCTCCTAGTAGTACATTAAAACTACTTTTTGTACTGGATCAGTACCAAAATCAGTGCTTCAGACTCTGAAAAGGAGCACTTCCAAGTGTGAGATGAGCCTAGCAATATGTAATTAATAAAAATTGGTTGAGTAGGCTTTTCTCATGGTCTGGTGTTTTGGGCATTCCGAAATAATTGTTTAGTCCTTCAAATAATTATTACTTGACACTCCTCCAGTCTGCCACCCCAGGCGTCTGGAGGTACTGCGGCAGAGGAAGGAGATGAGTCCAGTGGCACCTCTGAATCGGTCTTGAAGTTTTCACTCTATGCCTGTAAGTTCAATTGTCCAAGAATGGTTCCCAACCTCGTACTTCCAGATCGAAGAAAGTAGTTGCTTCTTAAAGGTGAAGCTAGGTGAACTCGAAGTTCTGGATAGAGGCATGAAGTCTCAAAGATACTGGGTGAACATATGTCTCATGGACAGGGGATGTGAGTGGGAAGTTAATATAGGACATATGGGTGAGGACTGTCTTTGAATAGGGCATCAAAATGTCCCAGGGTTCCTCCCAGTACTCACCTAGATTATCCAATTTAGTTATACATAGTATACTGTGTCTATGTCTGTGTGGCCTATAGCATATTAAATCAGCATTTCATCAAAACTGGTGGAAAACTTGACTTCAAGAGTTGTCACATTTCTTAAGATCAAGTGTTTTGCCAGCATGTTCCAAGAAGGTGTAACACATATTGTGTTACACTCTCTATGACCTTCTTGGAGCTTTTCCTTTACCCATCGCTTTGCTGCAGCATTAGCTTTGGCATATCTTTGATGTTTTTCAGAGACAGCATGACATGCACAATGGAATCAGCCTTTTCTTGCCTATGGATATCTGAACTTTACATAAGACATGAAGAAAACCTAATTAGGCATATTCTTGACCTGGCAAATACTCAGAGCTCAATGGTTAGCGAGCACAAGCAAATAATGTTAAAGCCGTGCATACTTTTTCAGCAAAGGACAGATATAATGCTATCACTACTCCTACTATGTGGGCAAGGCCTAGATTACCTTGTATCATTTTTATGTTGCTTTTTTGCTACTGCAAAAGTTGTAGGACTAGGAGGACTCTGGTACAATCATATAAATGAATGAGGTTGCACAGTTCCCAAGTGCATTGGGGTCAGCACTGGTACAGATATGAGGAATGCAATGTTCCCTACCAAATGCTCACCATTACTTTTGTCACATTTGAGCTGCATTAAATGATCTGCTGTGACATGGCATGCAACCAGTATGAGCCAATTCCACAGGTCAATAGGCAGACCATCAAACCTTCCATCCCCTTCCCAAGAGACATTGCCATCACAAAGAAACAGGACTTACAAGCCCTAGCGAAGAAACTCCAGCATGATCAGACTGGGCGTGATGATGCCCATTTATGTTTCATTGATGACTGGATGCTCCTCCTCCATTCCCCCCACTGGTGATTCCTTCAGAGTGGCTCAGTACATTGCAGAAGCTTGGCCTCCTTCATGCTTGGAAGATTTCCCAACTGACTCCACACCAAGCTCAGAGTTTTGTCACACATTCTGTCGAAGTGATGGGATTCCCGAGACATCTGAATGTTCTGTGGTGTGAGAGGACCAGTAGAAACTGCATGATTGCTGTATATTTCCAGGTAACATGTAAACAGATTTTATTGAGCTTTGGTATTTTCTTCTGAGAAGGGAAAGCAGCATATTAGACAGCCATCCTAAATAAGCACTTTCATTACACTATCCAAACAAAAATTGACACACAGTAAAATTATGCTACTGACAGTAATCTGACAATACAATTGTACACAAGTATGTCCATATAAAATCCCATTTTAAAAAAAATCCCATTTTTTGCAAATTATCAATGAGTTACTCTCATAAATGTGTCAAGTCATCAAAGACATCAAAATAATGTGACCTGGAACATTTATAAAGAAAGTGGCAACAGTTTCAAACTTGGTTGACTCTGGGTAACTCCAAGAGAGGTTGGTAAGAAAATCTTCATTTAACTGTACAATTAATAATATCAAACCGATCCTGACCTGACCTAATGTAACCTAAAAAGGAAACAGTACAAAATCTCTTCTTGTGCTGCATAGAAAGCAAACTGAAACACTAACCTGACCAGCTTCAGATCCCACTGCCTGCCACGGCACGTGCGGAGAGCCAGGGAGCATCCGACCCACTGTGCCTCTGTTCCTGTCAGTTTCACCCTCCCTTCCTTCCTTGTTTTGGCCGTACTTCTTTCTGCAAGGCTCAGTTGAGAGACTCATCCACCAACAGCTGAAATGATTCTTGAAAAAACATAATTTCAAAATATGTATGGATTATATTTGACTGTGACATCGAGAACATTCCCAATTTCTGTTGCCTGAAAAAAATAAATTCCTTTATAGCTTTACTAAGACAAACGTGGATAAGGGAAATTCAAATGTACTGCTGTGGTAGATGTCAGACTTTAAAGAAAAGCATGTTTAACATAAGGCAAGTCAAATGCAATAGGTACCCAAGGTATATCGTACCCATGTTTGGGAGATTCCTTTTTGTTATATTTTCACCATTTGCAGCTTCAGGTACTTTTGCATACAGTGCTACTAATGCTACTAATACAAGTAATATAATTAATATCAACATGTCAGGGTTGGTCCTAGGAATATACTATCACTCTTCACTGAAATGAAGTTAGCCATGAAACAGCCACGATAAATTTCTTATCATCTCAAAAAATATAATTTTATTGTGGCTTTTATTGCTGGGGTCAATTCCAGCCAATGATACCAGACACACTATGGAAAATAAAAACAAGGATACCAGTTGAAGGTTAGGGAGGACCCAAAACCTCAGTTTCTTTCAAATTTCAAATCTAGCATAATGCCTCAAATAGTTGGTGGTAGCATATTCCTATGACTAACCCTGACATACCAGGAACTGAAACATAAGATTATTTGCAAAAGAAGCATCACATGTAAAAGCACATGAAGCTACACATTTTGAAGATGTTACTAAAAAGCATTACTCCTAACAGGTATGGTATAACGTGTGTATCTGTCACATTTGACTCGCCTTATTTCGCTTTTGATGCTCCCATACAGCACACTGTGATACAATTGACTAAGAAAACCAATATTACACAATGGACAATGACAGTGAAATAACGGCTTCACATAATTCACATGAACTCAAAATGCCAGCATATGCTTAAAAGCAGATGATCAATCAAGATGAAGTACATCTTAGACTTTACAAAGAAATGGAACTTGTTTCTGTAACAAGTGCATTCAATGACAGTCACATTTGACAGAGGGGTTACTGTGGCAGTTGAGATGCATCCTCTGAGATATTCTCCTCCATGGGCATTCAGCCACTTAGTTTTTCTCTTTTAGGGGCGCAGAAGTACCAAATGACATTCCTCTGAAGAAAAATGCTGCAACCTCCAGTCATGAATGCTCGAATCCTCTCGTGCTTTCCCCTTCCATGGGCGCTCACCATCTACGAGGGGTTACACGTTTCCGCGCGGACTTCATTATATCTCGAGCTCCCAGCCGGTTCGGACGTTCTCCCCCTCCTGTCTACATTACTGGAGGCTTCTCTTTTTTTTTTTCCTAATTTTCCTGCAGGATGGAAGGGCGCAGGAGCCGTACGAGTGATGTCGTACCAGTTTCCCGCGGCGTTCGCGCGGCCTTGACTGTGAGAGAGTTTCGAACTGTCATTTGCTACAACTTTTGTCGTG